ATGGTTTCTTCAAAGTGATGGTGGAACAAACTTTGGCTAGAAGACAGTAAAAGCCTCAAAAGGAAGAGAAGCCAACACAACCAGTACTTGAACTTCTCTACATCAGAGGATTATCGGAAAGGATGAGAAGAATTGGGTCCAAGTATAACATCAGAATCTGCTTCAGATCTGGGAACACAACAGCCCTAGCAGCCTCACGAAAACTAGGCCACCAAACGCAGACTGCAATTCCAAGAATTGCATTCACGGGAAATCCTACGAGTGCGGAGAATCATACATCAGTGGAACTAAGAGGCCATTGGAGGTTCGCATTGCCGAGCACAAGAAACACACACAATCAGAATAAACCAGCGAATCAGGAATAACAGAGCATGTTTGGACTCATCAACATAACATCAAGTGATCTCAGGCTGAAATTATCCACGAAGAGGAACACTGGTTTAGGAGAATATTTAAAGAAGCTGCATATATGTTGTTCAACAACGCATTTAGCTGATCTAGCGTATATATACGCAGCATATGAAAACCTCTAGTCAAGCGGAACACGACCAACTCCCGCCAAACGGTCAGCTCCCGCTAAAACCGATGAAGCGGATAGAGGGAAGAGGGGATAGGTTAAAGCACTCGAATGACCTATGAATAGTCAGATCTCGGTGGAATAAGTCCAGTCACCACCCGAAGATGATTGTGGATACTAACAATCGAAACGTCGTAAAGTAACTTGGTTTGGAATCTTTTAATTTTCATTTCTTGTTAATAGTTTAATCTTTGCTGATATATTATTTCAATGTAATTTCAGTTTTTTCGCTTGATATAATTATTATTTTTCAGCTAATCTTTTGAATTTTAAAGATTCTTTCAGGGATTTTGAATTAATGTATATCATATTAGACAATGGAAATTCGAACTAATGAAGTGCAGAATTGACCTGGATAACTACCAACAAATTTTATTACTTTGTTCATTTTTGAAACTGTTTGGAAAAGTGGTGGTTACTATAATAATGAATTACTCAGAGTCAAATAATATACTGTATTATAATCAACATGGATTTAGGAAAGATGGATCTATGGAAACCGCTACCTATGATTATCTCAGTAACATATACTCCGAATTTTGTAATGGGTTCATTTTTCGAACTGTCAAAGGCATTTGACACTATTTCACCAGATTTTCTATATATAAAGTTGAAGAGGCTTGGATTTCCACATAACGTACTGACTTGGTTGAAATCCTATAAGAGTGGTTGGCATTTGATAGTCAAATACAACAGTATCATGGCCAAAGAACATGATGTGACATTAGGAGTTCCACAGGGTTCAGTACTGGGACCTTTAGTTTTAGTGGTAATTTGTTAATGATACCTCAGAACATCTTGACAATTTCCACATAATCTTGTTTGCAGATGATACCACAATGACCATCACTGGGCCTAAACTGGGAGGTATATTCACAAGAGTCAAAGAGGTTATTGACAGTTTTACGTCATGGTATGAACGCATTTTTTGCAAATTTTCAGGCACTCACAGTCACAAATATCATAACCTCACCTGTGTTTAAGGGCAACATGACAACTGTCGTAACCTAACAAACAATGTCGTCAATTCGTTTATTCTTTATTTTATTTCCTGAATATTCAAATGTTCCAATAGTAAGTCTGTTATTTCGTGCGAAGACAAACCCTACAAATGAAAAATTATGAAGACGAGTCCAACCGTTACTGAGCTACAAATGGTGTAACTAACACGATTCTAGCACATTGTTTCTATAGTAGAGCGGATTATCTGAAATCGAAAGTGAACCTGTATATGAATGAGAAAATCAGACATGAAATTGAGCAAACCATTCAGGATATTCTCAGGTTTGATGATTGCATCAAGACATGGATTAGAAATATATTGTTTTATTACCAAAATTCGGTTTGATTTCGCAGTCATTTTGAAATTTTCAAATCCAGTTTTTCTTTCAATAAGTAAAAAAACATCGAAAAGTGTTCATATACAACTTCATACAACTTCTGAGGGTCGTCTGTCGATAACTGAAGTATTTTACGAAATATCTGGAATCATGTCAGTTTCACGGCACTTTTGATTCTACAAATAGAGTTCTACGTACCAAAAATTTTCAGCCGTGTTCGTTATCCACTTCAATTATTTTATATATGTCAGCAAAATTCACAAGAGATCATAGTCCCACTGATTACTTGATCATCACCTGAGTGCTCATAACTGAAGTGAAAATTTCTGAATTGAATTGATTAAAATCAGCTTATCTTCATCATTAGTGAAATGGAAAAACCATAAAAATGAAATGGAAGGAAATAGACCAATTATATGTTTTTTCAACATTTTGAAATATAATTAGGTACGAAAAATGTAAATGCTACGTTAATGTGTTGACTACAAAATGGACCTCATAGACGGGTTTTTAAACCCGTTGAAATCAATAATGTGTATAAAAACTGTCAATGTCATGAAAGTGTGTCATGGTCAAAAGTAATTTGATGCTTTCAAACTGTATCAACAGAAGATACTTTTTCTTCTAGAATATATGAGTGAAATTGAATTTATTAGCTATCTGGTTGTAGGATATGTCTGAATTGAGAGCTGTATTTTTTAGAATATTTTTTGGAAAAAATATATTTGGCTTTTACTTCCCTATCTTCATACCAAAAATTGTGAAAAACTATCAGAATGAGGAAGAAAGCAAACAAATTAAATATAAAAGATCCTTTGAGATACAAGCTAAGAGAGAAAGCTCTTTCGACACAAATTAGAAACTAGACCCGGGACACAATACGTTTATGATTCAACACCTGACAGCGCTGTTTCAACGCGCAATAGGTCTCATCAGTTGTACTACGCTGAACCACAAATGCGTTGCTAGTATCAAGTGTAAGGAAAGATATCGTCGACTTCACTTACTCAGACTTCACCTTCAAGGACCGTTGAATTCAACAACGCATCTGTGAGTCTGGCACCATAGACTCGTGGCCAAAATGACGAATTTTGGCTACTTGAGACCATAAGTGAGACTAATTGATTATTTTATAGCTGACCGACGATGCCAATGCAGAATAGGACAAGAACTCTTCACCAGGCAACTTCTGGAAGCAGGAGTAAGACATATCTTCCTCGGTATACACAGCAGACTTGCCTAAGCCAGAGAACAACTTCAACAAATTGACACTCTACGCGGACGACACAGATTTACTGGCGAGATTCAGAAACCACGCGTTAGTTACTGGATACCTGCAACATAAGCGAACAGACTAGATGAGTGGGTCAACCTCTGGAAAAGTAGTATCAACCCTGACAAGATTCAGGCAATATATCCACCTGGAGGAAGGTACATCCGGAAGGACACGTCTTCAACGAACAGAAGGTTCCGTAGACAAACGAAGCAGGATAACTGGGTGTCACCCTCGACAGAAAACTAATATTTAGTTCCCATATCCAACAAAGGTTAGGGCTGGCGGAAGCCGCTCGACACAACCTCTACCCCATCATCGGACGCACGACTAACATGGATCTTCTCGTAACCAAGACCATCCTACTCCTCATCCTCCTGTATGCCCCCACTGACTGGGAAAATGCGCAGAAACATACAGACGCCAAATCTAAACGTATATGTCATCTACCAGGACCTGGATCTTAGCACCCAGTACGTTGATGCACTCATGAGAAACCATGCCGAAAACATCTTCGAGCAAATGCGGACACACCCCAACGAGGCGCTGCGTGATCAAAGAACAAGGAACAGGGAAAAGTACAGATTCCTCGAGAGGGACAAGCACATGAGGCCAACAAAGCAGAAAAAGAGATCACCTCCGAGAGTCACCGTCCGGCGGCTCCTGTGAGTATAATTTTTTTCTACAATTTCCTTAGGTACACAGACACAAAATCCGGTTCTCAAACACATACATTAGTCCACGACACACAACATTCGTCTCTAGCTAGTTTCAGAGGACCACCACGCGCAAACTACCCACAGTACAGTCAGGTTTTACAAATAATCGGATATAAGGAGGCACTAAACGCTGACTTTCGACCATAAGAGATCAGATTTCAATCTTGCTGAGATGCCAAGCAGCAGGTTGAGGAACACTCGGAAGTGTGTAGGGGTAAACAGAAGAGATTTTAGAACACAGAAATAATGTAGGAAAGATATTATCTCGGGGCACTCAGCCCCAAGAGGGGGGCATGATGGAACGCATCTGTGATTCAGCCTAGCACCACTAAAGACACTGAAATCGGGTTGTAACAGCGCTGTTTGGCATTGAGTCATGAATACGTTGTATTTGGGCTCTAGTTTTCAATACTCTTTTGTCAATACTCTTCTGGTCAAGACCACAATAACTTTCTTGAAAAACTTGTGTTATTTTTATCCGTGTTGTGTTATTTTTTTTATGATAAATTGAAATAATCCCCGTTGAGACTGTTGTGGAGGAGAAGAGTTTTCATTGATCATTTTTGAGTGTTTTCACCTTCCACAATCCGAATATAAAAAAAAATTCAATTGAGAACTTTATGCAGGTTTAGAGAGGGCCATTTTATCAGTTCTTCCCAAAAAGTTGACTGCGTAAACCAAAAAAATTTTCTTATGAAAAATTGAAATAATCCCCATCAAGACTGTAAGTAATCAAATGATTTTTTTGTGGAGGAGAAGAGTTTTCATCGATCATTTTTGAGTGTTTTTACCTTCCACAATCCGAATATAAAAAAAAATTCAATGGAGAACTTTATCCAGGTTTAGAGAGGGCCATTTTCTCAGTTCATCCCAAAAAGTTGACTGCGTAAACTCAAAGTTTTTTTCACAAAAAAAAAATGTTCTATTTATCAGTAACTTGTCGTATTCAATGATTTTGGCTTCGGAACATCAAGATAAATATTCGTATAATTTCTCAACTTTTTTGTCATCATACATTATTCACTGTAGAAAAATACAATTTTTTTCATGTCTAAGTTTGAAAATATTAATTGGTAATAAAACCAGTGCTATACATTTGATAGTTGTATATTGAACAAGTATTTACAGAATTGCAACTTAGATGATATAAAATATTTCTCTTAATATTTTTAGGACTCTTTTTCGACTCTGCCGGAAAAATGCTGTAACTTCTATTGGACAAAGCGGACGAACTGAAACTGAAAAACAAAGGTGAATGGTTTACTAAATATTTTATATATTTCAGTCGAAATTTGTCATTCGCATAGATTAAAATTCAATTAATTGTTTCTCAATAGTATAACTAATCCATATCTGAGCATCGTCAACTTGTATACAGTGGTATAAACAATCTTTTGTTCAATGTCCTGCATTCTGGAGCCTAAAACACCTGGAACTTTATTCCTTCAAATAATCAGCAGTTAACTACTTTCCGTAGATCTCATACAAAAAAGTTCATCGAAATCAAATCTGGTGATCTTGGTGGCCATTCTACGGAACCTCTCTTTTCAATCCACCGACATGGAAAGTTATTATCGTGAAACTATCACACTGCTACTACGCAATGAGGAAGTACCACATCTCGTTGATAAAATACTTCATTCCGCAATATATCAAGCATCTAAATGGATGATTGCTATAAGTACCAATTCGAAATAGCATCATTCAAGTTTGCTTCCAGAAGATATTGTACTTTCGTTATCAACTATCTCTGAATAGTCATCCTCTACATTTTTGCCCGGATGATTTTCTTGGAAAACACGAACAGTTTTTCCATGTACGTAATACAAATTCATGTTAATCCGCTTTTGAAGTGTATAGATCATAGATAGAAGAGATAGATCATCAGAAGATAATAAATTAAAAAACAACTCGATTCAATAGGACAAAATTATGAATATCTAATAATATAGCTGAGTTGAGAGTCACTATATCATATCAGAATAATTTTCACATATCCATCAACAGCTTCAGCAGTAACTAGGTGATGAATTTCAATGCCATATTGTGTACTTGAACAGGAAATTTGCCATTAGTTCTTATTATTTTCATTGGTATCATTCAGTAGTATTCAGTTCATTAAAAAGGATACAAGCCAGAGTGAGACAATTTTTAAGAAATGAAACGTGAAACCAATGTTCAAGCCAACAAAACCTCTCAGCTTTCCTATTCATAACAAAAGTTGTGATATCGAAAAAACAGTTAAACATCAGCCATCAAAATAAAAATTCAGATGAGGAATGAAGTTCAGCACAGCAGAAACAAAACTCAGCAAAACTTACACAAATTTCTTTCATGATCAGTAAAACCCTCTTCTTACTAGAAAGTTTTGACTACTCTTGACTACACTGACTATGTGCTGCTTCGTAAGTTCCTTCCGCTATAGCCATCAAATTTTTCGCCGTAGCTTTCCCGGTCTGCATCACCAACGAATAAAATACACCTGCTTCGTTCTGTAGCAGAAGATGGGGATGATCAAACTCTGCTTTTCGTCCTGCGTCCATTACTAACACCCTATCTGAATCCATGATGGTGTGCAACCTGTGAGCTATTGTCAATACTGTACAGTTGGCGAATTTTCTCCTGATGGTTTCCTGGATGAGACCGTCTGTGTGTGGATCAACGTTAGCCGTGGCTTCGTCCAAGACCAAAATTTTGTTGTCTCTCAATATTGCTCTAGCGAGGCAAACTAGTTGTCTTTGACCCACGCTAAAGTTGGTTCCGCCTTCGGCCATTTTACTGTCCAAACCTGAAGAAAGATCGCCAACGGCGGTTTTCATTTCCACATCATCCAGAGCATTCCATAGTAGCTGAAATAGTGTATTTTCAATACAGTTTCAGTTGTCAGACGACATATTTATTTTTATATATGATTTTTAATTGTATACATTTCTTCCATCACTTACGTTGTTATCAAAATACATCAATATTGGAGAATATAAAAACATCAGTAATGAGGAGAAGAAAGTGAAAATGCAGGCATGTCATTTTGGCTAAAGCAGAAAATAGAATTTATGGAGACTACCCCCTTATCACTCACAATAGTAGCGTTGATCACGGTCAGCACCTACGCCAGGTAACACACAACGTGTTACCTCAGGGCTAGTTAGAGTGCCACCAAGATTTTGCCTAAGCCTCTGTATATAATAACATTATCCTGAGGTGGGTTGAAGGGCACGACAGAAGTGAAAGTAATCGCATTAGTCAAGGACACCTACGTCCTAATGACTTCAACAATTGCAGAACTAACCAAACGTCACACCCATGCTCAATCCCTGAAGAGATGGGATTGAATTAAAGAATGCAGTCTTGCCAGGATCACCCTGGGAGACCCTGGGAAGCTGGCGCCGAAGAAATATCTGGTGATGACCAGGAAAAACCTACGCCTAAGAGTAAGATTTCTGACTGGCCACTTTCAACTAAAGAAACACCTCCATATTATGGGGCTAGTGGGCACACCTCTATGCAGTATGTGTGAACAGGAAGATGAAACTGTCAGGCATGTCTTATGCGAGTGTACGGAGTTATCGTCAAAGAGAGAGTGTGCCAATATAAAGGAGATATCTCCTAGTGACCTGTCCACCTTCCTGGAAAGGACAGGATGGACGATGACCCATGAGGACAACTCCTCAGGAGAATGTACAATGGGTCACATGTGGGCTAAGTGCTGTGGGACTACACTCACCCTCTCTATTCTACAGATACAGATAGTAGATGCGTTTCAAATTGCGTTGGCGAATAGTTACTAATTTTGATTGAACTCAATTACAGTATTTGTAAAAAATAACCTAATTTATTTTTATATTCTCTATATGCAGTCTGAGAGACATATAAATGATATCTACCTCGTCCTTGAACTCGTTAAATGGATCCAAATTATTTCTGAGTGTCCCCGAAAACAAAACAGGTTCCTGTGGGATGATAGATATCTTCGACCTGAGTTTCTTCAGCTCTACTGTCCTTGTGTCAATATCGTCTATTAAAATACTACCCTCTATGATTGCCAAACGGAAAAGAGCTTGTATAAGAGACGATTTTCCTGCTCCTGTTCTTCCTACAATACCAACTTTTTCCTTGGCTTTGATGATGAAATTGAGGTTCTTCAGAACGCAAGGATCATCAGGGGAGTATCGAAGAGACATGTCTCTGAATTCGATCCTGCCTGTTTCTGGCCAGAATTTCGGCGGTTCCTTTACGGTGTCTTCTTGTTTTTCGGGTTTTAGGTCGGCGTATTCTTGAACTCTCTCCACGGAAGTCATCTGGTTTTCCATTTCACTCCACTGTCGCATGCCCCACTGGAACATTCCGGTCAGGCCCATGGCTTGAGTTAGAGCCAGACCCATGTTTCCGCCAAAGCTTTCTGTGAAATTGTTTGGATTTACAAAATTGCTAAATTAGATCTTTCAAGTGCTATTGCTTCATTTATTCAACAAATCACTCACGACAAGTAATAATTCATTGAATGATTTACAGTGACATCTACAAAATCAGATTGAACTGATTTTATCGTTTCAATTTCCACCTGTTTTTTTATCTTATTTTTTTTAACATTGACAACCACCTTCAAACAAACGTCAAACACTTCATATTTCAGAGTAAGTCAATTTAATATTTCAATTATGAATTTCAACCACAAACAAATTGTGGCTAGATATTGGAATTGAAAAATTGAATAAAAGATGCTGACGAATTTTATGAAATTGACCCAAAAGCTGCCACAATTAGAAAATATCAAAATATCAGCAGACAATATCGCCCACTACAATGTTTCTAAAGTAGAGCGTAATTTCACTACTCTAATACGTGCTACCACCTTGCGACATACTTGCCAAACTACCGAAAAATGTGATCAGTCAGACGTGCAGTTCTATAAATATAACATAAAGTTGTTTTTTCGCCGATTTTTTACAAAATGTTTGTCTCAGGAAATAAGGTTTGTACTTTTTATGTGTTACTATATTGAAAATTTGTTGTAACCAATGTTATAAATGTGTTATTGTCAATTCAGTGTGGTATTCGCATTGTTACAATTTTGAGGTTAGGCACTATGTTTGATGAAAATATACTTTGATGTATATTATGGATAATATCGATCACGGCAGTCGATATTACCCCAACCAGTGGTCGATATTGTACACTTTATTTTATAGATGCCAAGAAATTATATGAATTAGAAAAGCACCTAGTCTCTACTCGATTCCATGTGGTACCCTGCAAGATCGTCTTAAAAATCGGTTTCCAGCTAAAAGCATTGTGTTAGGAAGAAAACCAGTTTCTTCTGACGAACAAGAAATCATGTTAGCCGATTTCTATGGATTAACACAAAACAAAATACGGAAAGTTGCATATGAATATGCTGTATCGAACAATATGGTAAACAGCTTCAATGACAATAAAGAAACACGTGGAAAAGAATGGCTTCATGGTTTCCTAAGAAGACATCCACAATTGTCCTCAAGAAAACCAGTAGCGACTAGCAAGAATAGAGTACTAGCTTTTAATAAAGCAGATATAGATGTGATTCATGATAACGTGACAATTTTAATGGAAAAATACAGTTTTCGCCCGCACCGTATTTACAATGTGGACGAGACCGAGATAACAACCGTGAAAAAACCATCTCGTGTTCTAGCACCAACGGGAATGAAGCAAGTTGGATCCATTAGTAGTGAAGAGCGAAGTTAAACCACTTGCTGTTTCAGATATTGCAGAATTATCTGCTAAAGCCTACAACCGGGTTGGGTACGATTTAAAAAAGTATAAATGGTTTCAAAACTTCAGGACTATATCCGATAGAAAGGAATGTCTTTAAAGAGGAATGATTTTCTCCAATAACTGACCTACCTACTGCTATCGAGGAAAATATGGAGATAAAAGCTGCTAGTCCAAGTTGCTGGCCCAAGTGGTTTGACTTCCATGAGAAAGAAAAAAGCAATTCCTGATTCGACGAAGTCATTGACTTGAACATCAGTCAATGTATACACATCAATATATGTGTCTTTTGTTACCACGGATTTATTTTATAAATTATTTATATTAGGTGGTCGATAATAGACCACCTTCCCTTAAAATTACCTCGTTGTAGTCTTTTTCAATCATTTTAAGCATTGAACTGTATGCTGAAGTTTTAGACACGAACGCAAACGCACTTATTTCATGGAAGTTTACCCAAGAAAAGAGTTTTTTGGGAATATAGTGAAGTTACTGCTTGTTGCCTGATTTTCTATTTGAATGAAATGGATAAATATAGCGAAAAAATGAAAGAATTCTTAAATAATTATTTAAATGACTGCGAGAACACATAAATATAAATGAATTATGAGAGCTTAAAACTTACGTACCGTGTCTGAACAACCATTCAATGTAAAATGACAGACAAGACTTTATAGCCGATAACTATTATATATTTACATTTCTTTGATATTGNGCCTCGACATAGGCGTCGGCATATTATTTTTCAGTGGTAGTTTTTCAGTTACTTATTCTTACAATCATCGCAATTGATCACCCCATGAAAAAGTTATCTCGACTGAATTTTTCCACCATGGGTAATTATGAAAAACTTCGAAATTTAAGGTAGTTGATTTCCAAGTCGAAAACTCTAAAATACAATAAAAACACAAACAATCACACCGAATTCTCGTCAAACATATATTTACAAAATGATAGAGGCCAACAAAATTGCTAGAAAAATCAAAATTCTTCTTCGCTATATTCGGATGCGGTGGAATCATCATCGGGTTGAATAACGATCGGATTTATGAAACTTTGCATATATTTATTCTCTTCTTTCATAACGTGGGCCACACAATTCTTCCACACATCACTATTACCTACTTCATTCACCACTCCCCTTATATTGTCAAGCACTACAGCATTCAAAGTCGGTGACTGATTACATTTCCGCAAACTTCCTTTCATTGTGACCCAAACCATTTCAATTGGATTGAACATACAATAGTATGGAGGCAAACGTAAGAGAATATGACCACGTGTTTCACACAACGAATCAATAGTTCTCTTTTTTGAAATTACCTTGTTTTATGGTCGCCAGTAATACCTTTTTCGTTGGAATCTTATCGGGTATTTCCATGTCATGATTTCGCATGAAATCAACAATATCTGCTTTTTTTGTGTTATTGTTTGGTATTGTAGTCAATAACCGAGAATGATAAGAAGCGTTATCCATAACAATAACCGAGTTTGGAGGAATATTTGGGAGAAGCTGCTCTCTGAACCAGATTTCGAATAAAGCCGCAGTCATATCTTCTTGGTGATCAGCAGACGAATCTTTTATATTTTTGGCCGACAGAAGCGAAGCGTTAGGTACGAAACCACTTTCATTCCCGGCATGCAAAATTATAACACGTTTTCCCCTTGAAAAAGGTGTGTTCAAAGCACCATACTTGGTTTCGTCTATTCAGCCATATTTGACAACATCATGGGTGTCAAACCAAGTTTCGTCTAGGTAGATTATATGTCTGCTGGATTCTTGGTAGCTTTTCATTCGCCTCAAATATTTTCGACGGAGTTGAACAATGCATGTCGATTCCATTATGACCATCCGTTTGTTCAATTTTTTATATTTGAAACCACAAGGCAATAAGACACCTCGTAGAGTTTCCAAAGATTTGTAATTGTAACCGGGATAGTCGAGTAATTTATACCAAATTATTTCCAAGGTTGGTAATTCATTTTTTTGGTATGGTATATACCATAAATTGTTCGCTGAATCATATCTTTTGTAGCACCATCAACATTTGCGAATTTTTTATTCCTATGTTTTCGTTTAATTGCATGGTCAATGACATCCCCTATTTTAATGACTCGAAGAACTGTCGAACGAGATAGTTTCGTTAACTCGCATATTCTATTCACAATAGCATTCTGTGAAGTGTGACAGTTTTTCTTCTTCAAGCATAAATGAATATTTAAAATTACTCGCTGAACTTGAACATGTAAGTCCTTATTTTCAAATTCCGGATCCCTATCGATTGACACAGATTCCTCACACTAGTGGAATCCACTAGTTAATTACCGAAAAATCAATTAGGATAATCAACATTTAACAAACAAAGTCCACATCGGACCAAAAAACTTTAGGTATATAAACAGCTAACCCTTGTCTTCAGATTCAGTATCAATTTGCTTCTCTTGAAGATGCTAACCTCGTTAGCGAAACGCGCGTCGAGTGCAAAATCATCAGTTTGGTGTTAGGGTAATTGATCTCTAGAGAAATTTTTCTAAAATCAGTTTGCAAAACCACTCACTACCTCACCTAACCCCACGAACACACGGCACTGATAAAGAAATATTGTGAAACGACAAAAAATTAATATTCAGCCAGTCCAGCTAGCCGAGCCTTCACTCCTCAACTACATTTGATAGAACTTTTACTAACTATCTGGGCGACTAGGGGCCACAGGCAAGAAATGCTTATGACTGTACTCTTATTTTCATTGCCGTTCCAATTGGGAATGGATAGACTATAATTGCCATGTTGTGTGAGTGGGTTACTTGTACAATTATTTTTCACTCGTTGGTTTTCCATTTGTGGTCGGTAAAAGTAACCCGAGTCAAAGGAATCACGATTATTCGTTCACTTGCTAAGTACACACTTGTCTATACTTGTATAGGCTCTCAAACGAAATGCACAAATAATTGGCTGTTACTGCGACTATTCAATAGTTTACAAGGCCTAGCAGAAGCTTACAGACGTTTTATTTCTGTTTGTTTTAAAAATTGAAATGGAGTGGACAAATGACATTGTTTTGGAGTTTCTTGATTTTTATAAAAATGAGGCGGTCATTTGGATGGCTCAACATAAACACCATAAAAATCATAATGCAGTTAATGATGCGTGGAAAAGAATACAAGATAACATATCTGTCCAGTGTACTATAAATGAACTGAAGAAAAAAAAAGATTCGCTAATGGCCACATTTTGGCCTCTCATTGAAAAAGTTAAAGCTACATCTGGAACTGGATCCGGCGCCGTAGAAGTTTGTAGGCCTACTTGGTGTGCGTTCGAAAAAATGGCCAGATTTTTACAGGGCATATATGAACCCAGAAATACTCAAAAAACAGAGGTAAGTAAAAATATAATTTTTTTATCATCATCATACATTATTATTGATATGAGACTTCAACAATAACTGTCTTGCCATGGGACTTTTCCTGTTGTTTTAAAATATTTGCAAAATTCATTTCGTATGAGTGGCAGGAATGATGACATATTTTGGTTACCGTGACGCCACGTGCCAGGCAAAATTTGACCGTCCTTTTCCGTATCAAAAGTACTTGGTGGTGAATAAAGTGTAGCAGCATTTTTACTTTTTCTTGCATAATTGTGTAGCAAGGCACATGTCATGACTATCTTCGATACTTTG